AAGGAAGCACGAGAACTGGGATACTGCCAGGTTGCCCAAGTCTAGATAGATGAAGTCGAGAGGCATAGGTCGGGTTCGAACCACAGACCTTCCGGTCAGTAAATTCGCGCTCTAACCACTTGGGCCATCTCACCCTTGGTTTCTGCTTGGTTCCCTACAGTTCTCCCTAGTTGAATATATCAAGGCTAGTCTCATGCAAAATAGGTGCGAACATCTCGAAGAATATGGACATGAGGTGTTTCATTGTGATATCAGCTACTATTTGTCAAGTTTCACCTCCTGATGCCTACCCAGTCAACAATATACCTGTGGTGTTCTGCTTCAGGTGTTTACCTACACGTGCTTGCCGATACATTGGGCAGCGTTGGTGTCATCTTCAGTTCCTATCTTGTGTCCACCTACGGATGGAATATTGCGGATCCGATATGTTCAGTTTTCATTGCGTGTGCCATTGGCTATTCCGCACTCCCTCTACTGTCCGACACACTGAATCTGCTGACGTTGAGAGCTCCGAACACAGAAGATACGCCAAACCCGGAGTCGATGGTCAAGAAAGTATGTTTGTGATTCTAGTTGCGTTGATGTTCTCTTATGCTTGCTTATCCACTTTCTCACATGCTAATTGTCTTCCACAGACTGGGTGGTTGAGTTTGTCTATCCTGTAAACCCCTAAACACCATTGCACAGGGAGTTGCTCAGTTACGACCGGTTAAACGACCCGGGGTTTTGCTCTCCATGGCCATGTTTTTGTTATAACCCATCTTTACCCACCATGATGACCACGTTGTCATTTGTGACCATCATTAATTCTAGAAGGAAAGAACCTTCGAATTCCCCTATACAGCTACAAGGAATTTCACGACTTTTCCTCTAGTTTGTTCTAATCTTACTTATGGTTTGTTGCGTGCCTACGTTTCACCGTTGGTGTTGGATCATGACCAACTGTGGTCAACTTCGACCACAGCTTTTATCGTGTGGCGTTGTGGAAATGAAGGCTGTCTACACGGAACGTTGTTGAGCGCCTTATGTCGGTGGGCTAAACAGATGAGGTCAGAGTTTCTGTGCTAGTCTCATGGTCCCCACCCAGGGAGGCCGCAGTTGCCGACTCGGTTAAGTTTACTGGTTAGTGCTTTTGTACTTGAATAGACACTGTCCACCTTCCAATCATTCCAGGGCTGTACATTGCACAAAAGAGCTCTCTGAGGCAGATGGTCTTCTGGCATGAGGAGTACATGCCCTAACCAGCGTAACCTATGAAACCTGAGTTCCTTCTTCCAAAGACCATCTGGCACACCTCAGAATGACTGATTCGATGTTCTCACCAGACCTGACACCGATTGTCAAACACTGACATCTTCTGTTTGTCCTCTGCCCGTAGGGGCCAGGTCTCGGATCCATAAAGCAGTACGGATTGCACCACCGCAGTGTAAACTCGTCCTTGACAGACAAACTGACGTCACGTCGGCGCCATAGGTGTTGGCGGTTGGCAAAGGCTGTCCCTGCCTTTCCGATTCTCCAGCCAGTCCATCGGAACTTATACAGCTGCCCAGGCAAACAAATTTACCTACCGCGTCGATCGGCTCAGATGCAAGTATGAGGTGTGGGTTTGATCCAACCCAGTCTTGTAGCAGCACTTTACACTTTGCAGGTATGAACCACATGCCAAACCGTGCGGCAGAGTTATTTAGGTTATTTGAAATCGTCTGCATTTAGGATCGATCTGAACCAAGGAGTGCAATAATGTTTGTGAGCGAGTGTCCAGGGAGCATTTCGACTCTCAAGGTTTAGGAGGTAGGCTGAGCAATTTCAAGCAGCTTATCAATGACAAATTTGACGAGGAAAGGGAGAGAGGGCAGCCTTGTCCCAGGCGAAAGCTTCCCATATACTCCTACGTGTCCACAAGAGTTTACATACAGTGCTCTCATGAGAGATGTAAATTTGGACACCACAAAAGTTTTTGACGATCGAAAGCTATCGAAAGCAGCTTTCGAATCGATAAAAACGTGAGACATCTGAAGGGGTGGTGCTGTTCAATAATTTGTCTCAAAGTAAAGATATAATCGATGCATCCTCGACCAGGGCGAATCACGATAATCCAATAACCTGCGCAAAATAATGTCAGAGAGCACCTTAGATGCGACGAATACCAGGCAGATACCATGTTGATCTTCCCGTGACGTTCTTGCGCTGTTTTTGGAAGTTGGGTTGACGGTCGAAGAGCTCCATTCAGCTGGTAATCTGTTTTTGTTCCAAATCTTCTGCAGTATGGTTTGCATAGTTGACTTCAACATCGCATGGAACAATAGTGCTTCACCGGCCGTTGGACTGACTCAACATCCATGACCCGACTTATTCATTCGCATTAGTGATTTGTTCAGTTACAAACCTGCTCGGTAGACTTTTGTCTTGGGTACCTCATTTATTTGGAATAACTCAGCTTCTGTTCAATATACTTGGTTGAGGGTAAAGAACTGAGTACACCAACAGGGAAAGAAAACCAACTTCAATCACAGATCAAAATCCTCAGGTTTCAGTGTTAACTGGTTTCGGTTGGTTTTTGTTCAAGATCCGGTTATCGTCATCTATAGCCTGTGTGTAGTTGAGTGGGGAAAAGCAAGTGGTGGAATCCTCATGTACACACAGCACTCCGGTGTGCTCTACATTAAGCTTTCAGCTGTATGAGCTCCAGGTTTCCAATATGGCCTTTACGAGATGATGAAAATAATTATGGATTATACATCGTTTAACATAACCCCATCCATCCTCATCACGTTGGGTTGACCTGATTCTTCCATCTTCCAAATTACAGTTGTATTGTCCTGCCGGATGATGTTTCTCGAGTGGGTTGACCTGATTCTTCCATCTTCCAAATTACAGTTGTATTGTCCTGCCGGATGATTGTTTCTCGAGTTCGCTCGTCAGGCATGTAGGGATGTTTGAATCTTTCTGATGCCTACCACTGCCGTCCATCACCCATCTTAGCAGCGTAGCTATCTGCTTTTTCGCTTTTCCGAGGCAGTCCGTCTTTAGGGTTCCTCTCTCATCGGTTTTTGGTGATATTATCCTACCTTCACAAGATTCAAGTAAACCTGCTCACGGTTGTTGGATGATTCAAATGCATTACGAACGGGACATGTTCATTTGCTTACGCAGGTAACTCTGTTCGTGTACGTGGCAGTAGTCATGTACTTACGGTATTTCTTCGTGACTTTGGTCTCCTTGAGTCTTACCTAGCAGAATCAAGGATCTTTCTGTCGGCATGAAGCGCATCGGCTTCTTTTATTAAAGGTTTCTATGCCACACTTGTTTTTCTGACAGGTTCTTGCAGTTGAAGGCGTTCTGGCTGTCTACAATCCATTCATCTGGTCGTTGACCCGAGACACAACCTGTATCTCTTTGTGTGTGAAGGTGGAAACCGAAGTGACGGAGCAGTTAATTTTGGCAAGAGTGAGTCCACTTTATCGATTTCTTGGCTCGGTATCGCTTTTTTTCGGTTTCTGTTAGCTTGGTACTAAGGTAAGTGGGTGAAGAATTGTGATCCTGTGAGCAGACAACTGTTCACAAAGGTATCCAAAGACATTTCTGGCAACTTAGTGAAGGATGATATTGAGTAGGTTAAATCAGGTAAGAATGTCTACAACCGTAGTCGATCAACCAGAACATCCGACAAACTTGCCATGTACCATCTTGCTAAATAAATTCACTTAGGAATGTAAGATGTAAAAGTTTGAGACCCAGTTTTTGTCAATTTGTACTCCACTGTTCGTTGTTTTGACGATCCGGCCTGAGACCTCACCCTATGGCTTAGGTTACGCGGACTGACGAAGGGTTTGTTGCTGCAGCGATTTCACTAATTCACCTTTATATGCGTCCCAAAAAGTAGCTAGAATGAATCTTTCGGATGATAACAAGATATTTCGCTCCCACGCTAACATTCGCTTATCTGTTTTTCTTTGCTCCGTTTCCTTCGCTTTCAGATCAAGGAACTTATCACGATGCATTATCAGAATGTTGGTCATATCACAATCCAGGTGGAAAAAGAGGCTATTCAACATCACCTCCAGGCGCTAGGCCTGAAGCCGACCATCCTGCTGACGTTCTCTAGGTCAGGGGACGCTATGCATGGTTCTAATCACCATCACTTGATTGATTTGCTCCCAAATGGGGTTGGACGAAGACCGTCACCAGATTCAGCTGCTTTAATGCCTATCAAATTGTTATAGACCATCTATGGCTCCACTTCGAACTGTGATCTGGTTCTTTTGTCTCAAATGCTTCTGGGATTTTTGACTTGTTTACCCGCAACCGTTTTACGTTTTTTGTTGTTGTGGATACTCTGTCCTTCTACTTCTAATATACTTGGAATCACATATTCCTCAAAGTGCTTTTTTGTTCCAAAGCGAATTGGTCTCTCCATCTATTTTACTGTTGACGATTACTTTGAAAGTGTAAAAGGACTTCACTGAGGAGTTGTGTAAGCTAATCTAGGTTGATGTTTTTCAATGAGATCTTCAAGGTCCGATTGAAATTCGCCAGGATACTGGCATCAGTAATTATGCTCTGACCGTGGTCTTTTTACGGATGAAAAACAGGGCTGTACCCGATACGCCAAACGAATGATATGGCGCGAATGGGTGGCGCAGTGTTCTGCCAGAGTTCCAGGGCGAGCCAACCATATCGAACGGACAGGTAAGTGATTCAGTTCCCTCAAATGCAGAGGAGGCGCAGCACTTCTAATTCGGAGGGCAGTGCGATAATGACCGCAGATGTGGGGATTTCGCAAAAATGAACCCAACTCTTATCCACACGGGTTTCACAGAGTTATTAGCTCCTTTTTTCGATCCTTTCCAGCTACTGATCGATTACCTCAAACCGACATAATATGCAGAACCTAGAGTTTGCTGATAACATCGTTCTTGCCTCGAACAGCCACGGTCTATAGACGTTCCTCAGTCAAATCCGCGAGTATGCTCTCACCGTCGGATTGGAGACCAACATCCTCTACTTCGTTTATTTTTAACGCCGGTGACTAAAACACCTTGGTTTTTGAGACGCTGATCTCAAGGCCACTGTATGAAGTGCACTGTTGAGGACGCGCAGTAGACCGGTAATGTGCTGCGAGGACAGCTGTGTCATCTGTGAACTCCAGGCTGGTGGTCGGTGTATTCTGATCACCCTCCACTCCATGGTGTCTGTTGACAGCTTGTCGCATTATACGGTCATTCGTGAGGAACAGGCTTGTAGAACCCCAGACGATAAGTCGGAGGTTGACGATCCTCCACCCCACGTAGTAAGACCACAATTTAGGCAGTTCCGTAGAAATACTGTCCGAATTCAATATATTTTACCGTGCTCAAAGGTTCAGAGCCGAACGCTGTCCAGAACTCGATAAGGCGGATAACAATTGGCCCTTGATATTTGTGTGATTGTTCAAGACCACTGCATGGAGCTTAAATCTGGACGATAACCTGCCTGGTCCATTCTGGTGCGAGTGACCACTGTCAAAGCCGATGATAAATACTCTAGAAGGGGCGAGATGGGCCAAGTGGTTAGAGCGCGAATCTACTGACCCGAAGGTCCGTGGTTCGAACCCGACCTCTCGAATTCCATTGTCCAGGCTTGGGCAACCTGGCAGTATCCCAGCCCTCGTGCTCCCTTCGTGTAGCATGGCAGCTAGGCACCGAAAGGGTGCTGCGGCTGAACGATGCGAAATAATCTATAAGCTGTGTGTATCATGTCTGTGGCAAAATGGCGTGAAGGAAAGATCTGTCACCTCTTCCATAATTTCAAAGTATTTGAGGTGATCTAGTTGGATGGAACCCTTCACTCTCAACAGACTGAACAGAATACCACTTGAGGTCTTGCGGAAGAAGAGGTCGTGCCTATCTCGTAATTCTGTGAAAAGATGCTATCTTTACCAGTAGCTCTGCGGTTTTCAGTTGGCTGATGATTTCATTTGGTTCCTATTTAGTTAGAGGGTTAGTCCACGTCGACGATGATATAGCGGACTCAGTGTTGGGAGAAAGCGCATGCTGGTACGTGGGAATTAGGAATTTGGGATTTCCTTTCCGTTGGGCAATTTCCACATTGATGACGGTAATAATTTCACCAGGTGCAGTGTATCTGAGACGGTGGTCGTTTACCGAAAGTTTGTTGTAAACAGGGGGGGGTAGTTTTGCAGTCACCGATATTTTCTACAGCTTCCACACTGGTCATCGTGTTGATTCATTTGCGATTCTGCCCATTCCTGGCAAATTGGCTTACTTGAGATCCGAACGTCCGTTAGTTTGGAGCGTTTGACGATCTCGCTTCCTTCGCCTGCTATGACAATCGCGTTGTAAGCTCTGATATCTAGTTCTTCTATCTACATGGTGATTCTGAATGGCCAGTACCAGTAATGCCAGTCGCACCAGCGTGCATTGACAACATCGGGCACTGCGGGACTTGCATACAAATTGTTTGCAGTTGTTGTTGGATGAGGATTGTTGCTTATCAGGCCACTCGAGAGGCGGGCTTTCAGACTTGATAAAGTGAAGCTTTGCTCTCTTCTGCTCTTTTGATGGTACGCGTCCATCTTCACCCCCTGAGGATGTAGTCAATCTGGTGGACTATGTGATCATCGTTAACAGGTATTTCTCTGGGTGCCGGAAGCGCATATCGTTGAAACACAACGATATAAGTCAGCGACGTTAGCAGCCAGGGCCGAAACTGTGCTTCCCGACAATACGGTGCGTTAAGATGTGATACGGTCCGGTAAGGGTGTTCCAGCAAGCATAAGCACGCCGTGCTTCGGTACTTTGTCAACGGCTGCTCGGTGCGTGCAGCAAAACTGGTCCATTATGTGCCGTCCGGAAATAAGTGTCAGTGCACGTACGGTTACGTGTTGGTGTTGAACAGTGATGTTGCCATTATAGTGAGTCCAGAAGGTTCCCTAATTTCCGGAAATTTGTTGTTATGCACAGTTTAAATATAGTACACCGCATGTGGGTTTTTGGCCTGTTTCGTGGTTTGATGCAATTCGTTTGACCTTGATGTTTCCATTGTTGAAGGAATTGGCTTAGGCTGGTCTGAACGAGACTTGAACTGGGTTATTACCGTTATTACAATCTCAGTCAAGACCGTGGTCTTTTTACGGATGAAAAACAGGGCTGTACCCGATACGCCAAACGAATGATATGGCGCGAATGGGTGGCGCAGTGTTCTGCCAGAGTTCCAGGGCGAGCCAACCATATCGAACGGACAGGTAAGTGATTGAGTTCCCTCAAATGCAGAGGAGGCGCAGCACTTCTAATTCAGAGGACAGTGCGATAATGACCGCAGATGTGGGGATTTCGCAAAAATGAACCCAACTCAACTGTCGAACTTCAAGCTTCTACTGTATTCAATATCTGTTGAATCTGATATCCGAATTACCCAGAGACTGAGGATTTGGACGCGATGAAAAAAGGGTAACGGTTATTCAGGGTGATAAAGGGTGATTCAAAGACGTCGCTCGAGAGCCTTCGTTTTCCGAATGATTTTCCTAGTCGTGTGACATCGTTTCTAACCAAAGCAACAAATATCACCACCAAATTGTACCTAATGCGTATTGACATACATTTGTACATTTGCATCTTCAACCGGTCCGTCATTCTGTCAGTCGTAGGTTACTCAGTTTCGCGCCCGTAATCTATACTGAACTCGTCCCCTCTCCAGACTGACAAGTCAAACGGCACTAAGCTGACGGAAGCTCGCAAATCATGTGTAATACCACGTATGGGTTGCGCTTAGCAACATATGCAGCCACCTGGGTGCCTTGTATTTGATGTAAACTCGAGGGGGGTGAAACCAGAGTGAAAAGGAGAGGGCAGTTTTAGGGTCATTGCTAGCCGGTGGTTCATAAGTGTCAATTCAAAAGGAGCACAACTAAGCAAATGGTCTCCGCAGTGCCAAGGGTCATCTGATGCCTCGCACCCCTCAGGAGACGCTTAGGAAGCGAACGCATGTGGTTAGCTGGTACTAGCCATTACTCAGCTAGGTCTGCGGAACGGTAGCCACCATTTTAAGCTTAACACTGGTCGTTCACAATAACAGAGTAAACCCCTTGCAGATGGATTAACGAGATACACATAAATACGGTACAATACGGCGTACATAATGCAGATTCGAGGTAGCAGTGCAAAACAACGTTCAACCGGATCAACAGTTAGGAAACATTTGTGGTCCCATAAGGCTAGGACGCTGGATATAACCAAACGGTTGCGTGCAGAACTTTGTCTGGTGGCCCGCACCACAGTTTGGAGCGCGTCGCTGCAACACGCATCTGACCAGCCAGCTTTGTCTATGCAGCAACGGTCAGAGAAAATAGTTTTTAGGGTATTAAGGTGGTGCTTCGTTGACACAGTCTGGCAGTTGAACCCAATGGTGTCCGCTTCAGATAGACTGTGGCTTCATTAAGAACCCGAACCAGAAGTTACCCGAATGGCGCTGTGTAGATAGTCATGATTCTACCTGGTTCTATTCACGCGATGTTGACTACTGAAAATCACATCTAGCACGTCGGTGGTCTGTGCGAGAAGGAATTCGCGTTGGTTTCGATCCGTACGGTGATCTTTCCAACTAGCGCACACATCGAGGCATTGCTCTACGTCAGATGACGGTAGGGCTAATCTACTGCCAGCCTCTTGAAAGGAAATATACTGACAATCTGATAGATGCACTCGGCTTTTTTGCTTGGAGACCAAATGTGGGCATATTGCCCTAGAACAGTTTATCCTGGTCCCATAATAGACGTGATAAGCTCTGAGTAGAACCGTCTTCAAGAGGGTGAACACTTTGCAAGTCATCTGAATTCCTACTTTATTCGATCTGCCCTAGCATGTCTTCATGTAAATCAGTAAACCATCCAGTCCCCACACATGTGGTCAACTGTGGGCGTTCCTCTAATCGAGCACTGATAATAATCGTTCAGCTGTAGCACCCTATCAGTGTCTAACTGCCATGCCACCAGAAGGCAGCACGAGCGCTGGGATACTGACAGGTTGCCCAAGCCTAGACAAGGAAAGTCGAGAGGTCAGGTTCGAACCACTGACCTTCTGGTCTGTACATTCGCGCTCTAACCACTGAGCCATCTCGCACCGAATGAAGGTACTGAGTAGAGGAAGTGGTGCCATTAGAAATTTTTATTCACCTATGATAGGTTACTATTGAGGAAACACCTAAGCTCTCCGTGAGCTACTTGTCTGCGTCGCTTCGGCTATTGGGTGACGTACACTGAAAATCCAGATCAAATCGGTTAGTGCTAAACCTGAGGTATCGCGCATTCACTGCCTCTATTTGACTGATTGCCAGTTCCAGTCCGATAACTCGCGTATTGATCTTGTTTCAGGCCCTAACACCTACT